TAGAGCAAAATTTGCCTGATCTTTACTTGGATGTTTCCCAAACAATTCTAGTGTAGATGGAAAGAGGAATCAATCTTATGGAGGATTTCAAATCTTAAACGGCGTTCTTTAATACTATTCATCTTTTTAACTCTACTGGTAGCTTTTTCAACTTCAGTTTATAGACTATTTGCTGAACATTTTAGCTGTGACGGAAAAGGCAAAAAAATTCTTCAGTTCACTTATCTAATTGCCCACCCACTAGGCCACAGTAGATGCTAGATGCAAGCGAAATTCTTTACAGGCGTGCTACAGCACTTTTGAAATCCAGCAAGCACACGAATTACGAGACGAAAGCAACTGCTTCATTGAATGCTGCTGTGCACCCGCAACCCTTTCTAAGTCTGTTTAGACAATAAGTATAAAGTCATTCTACGGTTATTTGCACACTTTTTACAGTGTTTTTTCCAAAATTATTTTCAACGTTATTGGTTTATAAAGATTCAGCTTTGGATTCAAGAAACCATAGATGAAGGGATTTGAAGAAGTCAAACCTTTACTCGATCATACCTTATTGAAGTTTAAAAGGAAGCAAGCTGCATTAAACAAGAAAGTATATTATTAAGCTCCAGGGACAGCTTTCTCAATGGGTTTACTAAACAGTTGTAAGGAATAAGACTGAACCATTCAATAAACTAGTTGGCTTCCCCAACAGCCATTTCACCAATTCATCTTTGATTAACATAGAAGAAACAAGGAATTAAGCGTCAAACTTATACTTGAACGACTGCAAATTTTAAAAAATCTTTTTTTGGAAGAAGTTTTTGAAGAAATGGTTTTTAAGCTTATAAATTTGGAAATTACTCAGTTCTGAAAGAGAGGTAACGAGGTTTATGTTTAAGTAGTCGGATATAACAATAAATCTGTCCTGAAAGCATCTTATATCTACCACGACATTTACGAGTTGTTTCTCAAAAAAAAAAAGAAAAAAAAGTAGACAAAGAAAACTTTTTCAATGCATAAAAAAAAAAAGACATGAAAAGATAGGTGCTCCTAAAAGGCAACTCGAAAAGTTTTACAGTTGAATCGTATTTGCATTCAGCACAAACAAAATCCAATTGCTTGAACGAAGTAACTGAATTAACCATTCAAATATCCGCATAATTCTTGCTAGGAAGCAATTCTTCACTGAACTACTTTTCGTTTAATCTGTAGCTGTAGTTGAATTAACAACTGTTTGCAGTTTTTACTATATTTTTTGTGAAGCTTCTTCAGTATTCAGTAATTTTTCTGTAGGTCTCAGTATGGCAACAATCTTTCGATTAATAATATTATCAATGAGTTTTTCATTTTTTTATATAACGCGGTTGAAAATGTTTACAGTCAAAAAGATGTTAACTTACTATTATGGAAATTGCTGGATTTCTCGCCGGGTATTAACGTTTATTCCACGCAGTTGTTTTCTGATCCTTTTACTTTGGTCATTTCATCAACTGTCTAAAAATATAATTGCAAAAATTTGGCAAAGAACTTTGACTAACCGTGTCATATGTTTCTCCATGAATAGCAGTATTTAGCAGAAAAGTGCAGTTGAATTTTCAGGTGTGGAACATTCAAAAAGATGTCTACCATCGTTCAGTGGGGAAACAGACGCTACGAGAAGTATAGCAGTTGCTGAACGTTATGGCAGATGGCACTACTGCTTGTTTGACGTCAAAGTACGCACTAAAGATCTCCATATTTTATTATTAGCACTAATTAGAAATTCATATGCATAGAAGTTATCTAACAAATGTGTGGTGTTTTTTTTAATCTTAATTATAGTTGATAAGAAGAATCATTAAAAAGGTGGCATAGATAAAGCAATTAAGTTTGTAAACCTTTGTACTTTTAAGAAATAATATCTGTTAAACGAATCATGTCGGAAATACTCCAGTTGTTCTTTCTTTTCGAACGTAGTAGTAAGTGATTGCTTACTTAGGTCAAAGGTAGAAAAGCTGCTTCGTTGGAGGAGTCACGAAAATACTGTTACCATACTTTCCACGGCCGATTTCTGTCAATAGGTTCGGTCAGGGAATTTATCTTCTTGCACGGTACGTTTTAAAAATACAAATCAAAAAAAGAAAAATATAAAAAGAAACGCTTCGTTCTATTGTCAGCAAAAGTGAAGAAGTGACTATAATACAACAACTCGTTTTTAACTTTTTGAAGCATTTGAAGGCAAAGATTTATTGTAGGAGAAATTTTCAAAATTTTTACTTTTGAAGGACCTAGAGTGCGTTTTAGGCTTTAAAATTGTTAATATGCTGGCGAAAGGCTTACTGTCACTTCAAATCTTGTATGAGAATTAGTGATTGTAATTTTTTGTTGAAAAAAAAAGAATTATTAGATTTTTAATTGCAGTGATTCTGGTTTTAGGAGTACTTTATAAGGAGTTGGAGGATAGAAGACCTAATGTTGTCATAGCACCAGTAGAAAGAAACTTTCTGAGGCACTTAGCTGATGCCAATTTGAAGAAAACGTCGGTAGAGTATAAACACCTCAAATTTCTAATTCCGCATCTGAAAAAGGGTCTGACCTATTTTAAAATGTTTAAAACTATGACATTATTTCTGTTTTGTAGCAGATTATCGCTGTATTATACAAGAACAAAAACTTCGATAGCAAGTTTAATTATACTCTAAAAGTTTGTTAACACTGAAACCAATTCTTGCTGTAAAAATTTCAAACAGTACATTATATTTTGCAGACGAGCAATACCTGTGTCATCCAACGTGGATATTTTCTGGAGGAATTTGCTATAAGACTGTTAGACTTTCGTTTTTCCGTACAACTTCACTGAAAGATCAATCAACGTTTTCATTAAATTACAAAAAAAAAAACAAAAATTGTCGTCTACGAATGGTATCAACAAACTCAGCTTATAAATACATTAAAAAACATTTAAATTTTATAAAGTTTTTTAGGTTGAAAAGAAGGGAAATTGGTGGTCTGCAGACAAATATTGCAGAACATGGCACCGGGGTCTGTTAGGCACTTTTTACAAAGTTTCCGATTCTGCAAGAGTATTGAGTACGCCAGTTTTAAGTTACAACTTACTCTGATAATTCCGATAATATTCTAAAATCTGTTCTCGCTTAAAAGACTACTCATCAAAGTTAAGAGCTTGACAGGAAGTTGCAACTACGTGCAGTTGCTATACGACATTTTCAAAAAGAAATAACTGTTTTGACGACGAAAGAACAAGAGACAGAAGCTTTTAGAGTAAAAATAGCAAAAAACATAATCGAACAATTTCGATTTTAAAACTTTTTACTTCAGTTTTACTCATTAGTCGGAATGTTACAATGTTACAATAGGTTAGGTTTCAATTAAAACAATTAAAGCAGAGCTAAGAAGTAGAACTACCTGAAAGACTATTTTTACAATGTAACTAACCATAAAAGAGACTTGAAATTAATGACACTACTCTTACCATACCAACTTCTTATGAGGTTCTCACGTGGCTTAAAAATAAACTTTAGGGACAGATAATAAAGAATATTATTATTTGGGAGCCTCATTTAATTATTCCGCAAATGATTACTACTTTGACGATGGACGGCATTTGCTGACAAGTGGTTTGGACAGTGCAAACAACCAAAGTTGTCTCGCACAACTGAAAGATTCTGTTGTTTTTGTGGATTGTAAGGCGATGCATAAAGCCCTCTGCGAATACAAAAGTGCAATCCTCCTTTTAATTTGCATTTTTCGATGGAATATCAACGTGAAATTAAAAAAGTGGTTATATTTTAGCTTTCACATAAGAATGTGGCGGATTTTTTTCTGTTCTTCTTACAATATTTAGACTTCAAGTTTCAATCTGTTACTTAAATTCAAATTTCTATAAAGTTTAATTAATTGAAGCTGCCGAACGATGCTGTACAAAAATCAACCGAGAATTGACAACTCTAATTTGAAAAATTTAATAAGACAGAACGTTAACGAAAAATTAGAAAAAAAAATTGATTTTCAAAAGCTGATGAATATATCACGTTACAGTGTTATTCTATAATTATTACCTAGGTGTAAATAAAGATTTAAATTTATAAAGACAGTTTAGTGTAATGCACTATGTGGAAGGCTTGCAACACAAAAGTGCTAAAACCAAGTAAACGCAGCACTTGGTTTCCACAAACCTCTAACTTTTACATGTTTTCCTTTGAGCACAACTTATAGGCAAAACCTTAACGATCAAGCCAAAAATTTAAACGGATTGTGGAGGCTGTTAGAAATCTTATTGTTCGTAAAACTTCCAGCATAATTGAGTTTCTTGCCTATATTCTGACACAGTTATGCTGTTGAATTTACCATATTGAACGTTTACTTTGGCGATGGACAACAACCTTTCCTAAAAAATGTCGAAGGCATTTTTGTTTTTCCAATTCTATCCCACCCAACTTTCTACCACTTTACCCAGCACGTCTACCACTTCAATTTTTTTTGTTTTACTTTTTCCCTCTTCCGAGCAGGAAAAATTGAGTGACTAACTTTAATCACTCACCTCTCAGTTGCATTTTGCGAAAAAGTGTTTTTTTTTACTGAGACAAAGTGAGTGCAATTAATTCTGCTAGAAATTGTTTGCCTTCTTGAATGTAATACAAGCTTCCAGTGTATCGTAATAAATTATAATTTTTAGGCCAAATTCTCTTCACGAACGAAAAAAGTATTGAAAGGTTTGCTTGCAAAAAATACTTCGATACAGAAGAGGATTACGGAGGACAGGTTACATTTATTATGAACATCACAACTTTTTCATGAAAATCTTAAGCTGAAGCCTGAGTCTAAGGTTAAGCGTTTTAGTTTGAGCCTTAGCCTAATTTAACAAGAGCTGTTATTGCTTTCTTTAACTGTTTAAAAGACCAACTTTTCAGAAAAGATGGACAAGCGACAACCCATTCCACTACGGTAGGGCAAAAAGTAGTTGCATTTCTTTACATAAAGGCATAACTTGGTGGTTTTTGAAGTACCTTAAGTATTTATTATATGTCATTAATCATTTATGAAATTGGTAAAATAATAATTGTAAGTCTGAAAATGGTTTATCGAAAAAAAACTAAACAACCTTTTCTGAACAAGAGAGCGCGACAGCGGTATAGATAGTAATAAAAGTAGTTTTAGAAAAATTCTTGTGTCCTCCTGGGTGGTATCAACACTTAGAGATGTGCTTCACAATGGTAACAAATAAACTGTATTGATACTCATTATACTTCGTGCACTCCTATCACACTTTCATTAGTAAGACTTGAATAGTTAAAATAAAACCTGAAGATGAAGCGAAGCTACCCGAAACGGCTGTACAAAATCTACTGATTAGAAAATGTAACTCTGTTCTTTTCCATTAGAAGAATCTTCTAACATTTTGATAATAATGAAACATATTACAAGTCGTTTCTCACCAATCAGTGCCTGAAAATAGACGTGAGTTTCTTGAACAATCACTCAGACTTGTAAGCATAAAGAGTTGTTTAAGATAAGCAAAGGCGATTGGACTATAAAAACTGGGTATTGATGTTTTGCTTCATTAGCAATGAAGAAATAATTAGTTTTTTTGAAATAGGTATTCGTCAACAGAACTTCTTAAATGCTATATGGTTTTTACTAGATTAAAGATTGGAGCAGTTCTGAATTGAAAGGCCTCAGTCAGCCAAATTTTTAAATATAAACTATCTGAAAGAGCTTCAACACTGTGATGCCCATTGTTACTGTTAGAAGCTGCGTTTGAGGGAAATCAGATAAAAATTTGAAAGCAGTTGCATCGAAAGGCAACGGTTTTCTCATATAAATATATATGTCTGTCTTCGTTCTTTTTAAGATTGAAGAGCTATTAAGTTTCGAAGATTCTGAACGTCACTGTGAAACAATAGAGAGCACGCTGGCATCATTCTCATCAGAACAGGAGTTTAAAATGATACAGGGTAAGTCTTCTACACCAATTCCATCTTAAAATTTATCTCTTGGGCTTATACTAATACTTTTGCCTAAAAAAGTATACAGCGTTACTTCTACCTTTGAAAAATTATGATAGAAGAAAACATGTTGTACACCTGAATTAGGGATATATATGTATAGCTACTACATTAAAAATATCCCAAAGACGCTCCTAAACTTTCTTGTTTAGAGAAAATTCATTATGAAGTATTGCCACTACTGCTTCGCATTTTTAGGTGCACTCATTTGAAATCTTTGCTTATATTCTTCAGACAGCACTTTGTCTCAGTAACTGTTACGCTGTTGTTGAAAAATTTGCTATAGACTACGTGATAAGCAATTTACCACAAAATAGTAATCTTCATTATTAGTGACACTAATTCTGCCATCTGCTTATGAAGCAGTTGGGCGTAAACTTATCGACTTCTCAATTTTTCGTTTAGTAAAAGTAATATTTAAATTAAAAAACAATTCAGAATTAAGTGCTGACTCTAAATTGATCATTTTGAACCGCTTTCGTATATATGGTACATGCTGTTAAATATCTTTTAGTTGTAATAATTCTGATTCACTGTTACTTAGCAGTAAGAAATTGTTTGTCAGAATGTTGATTTGCTTTAACTGCTTTATCTTAATTTAACAATCTAAAATAATAACTGTCTTTTGGCTTACTTAAAGTAACATAGGTAAAGTTCACTCTTTCTAATATCGAAAGTCAAGATTCCATGACACTAAAATTATTCAACAAGAACATAAGAGAAAAAAACTGAAAACAAATTGAGAAAGAATAACATTACACGAATCCAAAAGACTTGCCGAATTTTTTTCACATGTGGCAATCTGTTCAAAGGAAATACTTTTCAAAGCGACGGAATTCAGCAGACGGGAAGGTCGAAATTAGGCTCTACGCGTTTTTTCAAAGCTCCTTTTTGTTATTCACAGGCCTCTTTCAATTTCTTATTTTCGTTATAATGACCAAGCTTAAAAATGAAGAAATATCTTCAAACAAAGAACCCAAGAGCTAGCGGAATCAGAGCTTTCTTAAACAGTAGTTTAATTAGACCTTTGTAATGTGGTTGTTTCACTTAACTTTATTAGTTGGAAAAGACATCATTATAATAAGCATTATTTAGAGAAATACGCGTCAAAAAAGTACTGGATAGGTCTGAAACAGATAAACGAAAATTGGGAGTGGATGGATACAACTGCTGTTGACTACACCGTCTGGAAAAAGTACAATTTGACAGACGAGGAGTTTAGTGTTCAGAAATGTATGTTCGTCGATGGAACCGGCAGCTGGGGTCGTGAGAACTGTGATGTGAAACTCAACTTCTTATGCAAGTTTGAACGTACGCCTTTACGTCTTCTTTATTACTCTTTGCCTATATTTTCATTGCTTCTTTATCATGATTGCAGCGGGATTGTGGTGCAGACCGGGTTTCACTAAATTCGACAACTTTTGTTATAAATTTGTAAGTCAAAAGATTTTACTAGTATTTTTTGCATCAAAGTTGAACTGTAAAAGTCTAAAAGCTAAGAATTTTTTGATATTCTTTTGCAGCGCTCTGCAAATTTCTTCTGTGTCATCAAAGACAATTTTAAACAAGAATAGTTACTTTTAAACTTCAGTTTCATACGGAAGTTTCATGGATCGTTGCTCAAAAAATGTGTGCTGAATACGGTTCAAATTTAGCATGGATTACATCTAATGACGAACAAGCATTTTTGGAGGGTAATTTTTTTTATGTTAGTTTTAACTGTACTTTGTTATTCAAGTCCAGATAAAAAAAAAAAAAAAA